CCCCAAAACCCCAAAACCCCAAAACCCCAAAACCCCATATTTTGCAAAAAAATAGAAAAATATCTTTCTACACCATCCAAAATAAATTTCATAACTCATTTCCTTACATTTAATTATACCACTAAGCTCCTGCCCCATCCATACGTCTAATCTCCAAATTCTAAGCCTAATAATCCAAAGGTCTCTCACCTTAAAGCCAGCCAAACACTAAAACCCTGAGTTCATGCAGTCAATTAAACAAAATCTGAATTCTCAAAAAATTGAAGAAGAAGTAGATGATGGCCTTTTTGCCCAGAAAGCAGTTCTTTTTAGGGCATCATCAAGAATTTTCGGATTTTAGGGTTTGCACAAGTGTTATTGAAAGTTATGAGAATACTATCTTCTTAATGAACACTCCTTTGCCAACAAAAATAATGAAGAATTCTGACCTGTCTTCCTCCTCTGAGATTACATGCACCTATACAAGGGAGATTTTAGTAAACATTAGCTTGATTTGAGGAATACAGATTGCTTTGTAAATTCCTCGTTCCAAATTTATGGATGTGCAAAATCAGTTATCTACCGAAGTCATATTTTAAATTATAACTAAAGAGAGGACTAACAGAAACTTTGTCTTTTCTTTGGCTAATCTTTTGCACCTGAAATCTCAGAGAAAGATAAATGTAATAAAAATGCTGAAGAAATCGCTTCAAATGTAATGAAATTCATACCTGACTGTCGAATATGTCTGGAAGTGTATGCTTGAAAGTATAAACTGGCACTAACTTGTGAGATTTTAGAGCCCAAATACATCCTCTTTGATCATAACTGCTAGATACAAGGAAGGTTGTTTCACATCCTTTGTAAAGCAGGGAGAAGAATCTCAATGCTTTAATTGAGGAATGATGTGAGTATGAAGCATATACCTCTTGGATGCTTATTTTTTCATCGATAATTTCAAGTCTATAAAATTTATAATCAACATATTCTGTAATAAATTCTCTTTTTGATATAAAGTAAATTCTCAGTTTGTTCATTGAAAATCTTGCCAGTATTTTGACCAAAGAAAGCTCAGATAAAAATTTCATCAAATTCTGGGAATAAAAGAGGTAAGAAATCTAATTTTTTATTCTTAGGCAATCTAGACTAATGATTGCTGAGCGTATAAGCCAAGCTTAGGTTTATTTAGATGTAAAAATAGGGTATACTTACTTTGTTAACTTCAAGCTCTGATCATCACTTCCAGTACAGATGAAATCTTTTGAGATATCTATGACGTTGATCCCGATCTGATGACCTTGCCATGTCAAGTCATTGGTGACATTTTCTGTGCTTATCTCAATGTTTTCTCCTGTTACTTGTCTGAGAGCCATCATTTTTCCTTTGTTTGTTCCAACAATGACTCCATAAGTCTGGTCTTCTATTGGGAATGCCTTAAGACAAAGCAATGCAGTATCAAAAGCTAGTGTGCTCACTTTAGAGAACTCATAGTCTGAGGTGTTAGCTTGAATTCAGTGATATTCTCCTGATGAAGAAGCGATAAAGCAGATCACATTTTCTTGAGTTGCCAAGATTTCAATATCCATTATTCTGAAGTCTTGGGATGATTTTAATCCTTCATATTTTGAGAGATGGATTACTTCTAAGCCTTGGGCTGACAGTTCAATTTCAAACAGATTTACAAGCAGCTGTCCTCCTCCTGAAACAACGTAGTATTTGTGATTATCCTCTGTTTTGCTTTTTAGAATCTTCTTTATTACTCTAATGCTTGAAGTATGATAATTTAAAGATTTCTGCAAATCTAGGTAATCAGACAAAACTTCAGCAATCAAAATTTCAGTATCTTCTCCGCCAGTAGCAACATAAAGAGAATTAGTGAATGGATTTGAGAAAACAGCAGTTGTAAGAGTCTCTCTTTCATGAAGACTTGGTCTTAATGTCTCGCATTCTATCCCTCCTTTCTTAGTTGCGCTGTCTGAATAGTATACACTAATAATATTTTTGTTTGAAAAGCAAACGAAGAATTTTGACAATTCGTCATTTACATTAAATAGTATATGTCTATTCCAGCCTTTACAATTTATGCTGAAAAGCTGGTGCTTATCTAGTAAATTCCAGAGATAAAGCATCACTCCTCTACCTCCAACTACAATAGGCTTGGCTCCTGCTGAATAGACTCCTAGGACTCATGAAAGAGGGCCTGGCTTTAGAGAAGATATTACAGAGAATTTGTCATCTTCTTCGAAATATCTCAGTACTTTTATATGCTTTTGCTTGGCAGTAGAAATTATGTCATGCTTTGAGTTATTCATGTGTCCAAATGAGGTAATTTTGTCAACCCCATGGACTTTATTCAGATAATAGTCACAGTCTTGTTGTATCATATCCTCTTTGTTGAAATCTGCAAAATCTGAAGCATCAAGTTCCCATGGATAATTATTACAAACATGAATGTTTCCTTTAGTATCTCCAAGCAGAAGTTTTCCAATAGTTGGGTGGGTCAGAGTAGCGCTAAAGACCTGAGATTTCTTTTGCAATTGGTATTCGGCAACCTGGCGAACTTTATATTCATAAATGTGTTGCTCGTTTCTAAAAATATATACTCTCCAAATTTTTGTTAAGCCTCTTCCATCTGTGGTGAGGAGATCGAATAAAGCTTTGCATTCTCCAATTTGAATATTGATCTCAGTGGTGAATTTTCTGAGGACAATTACTCTGATAGTTTTCCAATGTACACTATCTTTAGAATCTATAAGATCAACTCCTTGTTTTACCTTTAGAAGGTTTATCTGGCAAACTAGATTCTCACTCAATGGGATCGATCGTCTCTTTAAAGGTCGGGAGAATTTTCATCCATTCAAATGGAAGTATTTGTATTGAACCTTCTGTAGGGCTCATGCTTTCTAAAGATTAACACATGGAGATACCTCAGTTATTGTCTCTATCAAACATCAGTATCTGTGCTTTAGACTGTTTTTCATAGTTTCCTTCGAATGCAGCTACTAATAAAATAGTTTCCTTGGTGATCTCTTCAGTCACAAATGTAAAATGTGAACAGCAAATATCAATAATAGAAAAATCTTTGCTTTTTATAGAAGGATCTTCTATTCTGGAGTGTGTGTATTTAAGCTCAAAGTTCTTGATCGGTTCTGTTTCATCAACTTGCTCATTGCTCCATTTGTAGATTGTTCCGATATTAGTAGAAGCAAAGACATAGTAAATATTTTCTATTGAACAATGGGCAATACTTCTAACGAAGTATTTTTCATTTTCAGTAATTTCAAAGGGAAGAGTATTAAGAGAATCATTAATATTGCACTCAAACTTTTGTATACCAGAAGATTCTTCTTTCTTCTCTTCCTCTGATTCAGAGTTAAAACTCCATACTTTAATAGATGTATTAGCCCCACCTGTCACGATTCAGTTGAGGTCTCCATTAGCTGATACTCACCATAGAGATCTACCGATCTGTCCCTCAAATTTCATTACTTCCTGATTGAAATCTAGTCCTTGTTCTATATCTGAAATACCTGCAGTATTTCTTCAGATGATCTCTCTAAAAAGTAACAAAAGAGGCTCTTACTCTGGTTGAGGATCGTTTTCTTCTGTAAGCTGCCAAACTTTGACCACTCTATCGCCAGATGTAGTGCAAATGCTTTGTTCATTAATCCATCTGAGATTGAAAATAACTCCGGCATGGCCTTTGAACTCCATTAAAACTTCTCTCATCTCTGAAAAATTTTCGTTGATTTCTTGTGATGTATCGATAAAGTAGTTCCAGATGCAAACACTGCCGAACATCGTTGCTGAAGCTGCTAGATACTGCTTGCTATTCCATTGTTGGAGTGGAAGGAATGTTAGCTGAAACAATATTCATTCATCAGAGCATATCACTTTCCCTCCTCTTTGGAACTCTGGCCAGTCTTCTGAAGTCTCAGAAATCTCATCATTGAAGATAATTTTATCTACATAGTTATGAGCATATCCAATGTAAAGATCTCTATTAGTAGGAAGGATCACATCATAGATTTTATCAAGGAAGTTTCTGTTATCAAACACTATAGATTATGCATTTTGAGTACAGCAGTGGGCATTCCATTGCTCAGCATCTATGTTGAACACTTTTATCCATCTTTCAGCAAAAGCAAGCACTTTAAAACTTGTCTCATTCCCATGAAGGATCTGATTATGAGCATTAAAGATTACCTTGACCTTCTCAACTTGCTTTATTGAATCAAATACGTTGATTTTAAGAAGTGTTTTCCTGTATTTCAAATCCTAAAGCGATGAAAATTAAATTCTGAACCTCTTCACTGCCTTTGTTGATATCAATGATGTGAATATAAGACCCACTCGCTAAAGTATGTTACTCCGAGCTTACAGTAGATGCAATAAGATTTATATAAAGCGATAGAGGAGATAGTGCTAATGAATAGCTCTTCTATCTGGTCATAATTTCCTTGTATCCCAACTGTTGATTCCATTTTATAGTGTTTATTTCAATTAGCCACTAAATTTATGGGGTTTTGGGGTTTTGGGGTTTTGGGGTTTTGGGG